TATATTTAATGATATTGGTTGTTCATACAATATGATTGATTGGGGGATTTTATGGTTAATTCATCTTGCCAGTTGAGGTTCTTCCAGTTAGCCTGTCTCTCAAGAATAAATCCTTTAGCCAAGCATGGTGGCACACACCTGTAATCCCAGCAACTAAGGAGTCTGAGGCAGAAGGATTACAAATTCAAAGCCAACCTTAGAAACTTAGCAAAACTTGTCTCAAAATTAAAAAGAAAAAAATTAAAAAGGGCTGGAGATGTGGGCTCAGTGGTTAAGCATGCATGGGTTCAATCCCCGGTACCCGCCCCCACCAAAAAGAAAAAAAGAAAAAACACATCTTCTGCTATAATAACAAGACATTGATCATGTAATATTTAGTAAGCATCCACTATGCAAAATGCTTTATGCATATTATCTCATTTAATCTTTATAAAAACCCTATGAGATAGGTATTATTACCCCACTTTTAAGGAAACTGAAGCTTAGAGAGGTTAAGTAACTTGCCAAGATCATAGTTATTAAGTATTGGAGCCCATATTTGAATTCCTTATCTGCCTCCAAAGCCTTTTATCTTAATCATTAAATCAGCAAAAGGCCAATCAATATGCTTTATGAAACTGGATTTATTAAGAAGATCAAATGAATGAGGCAAAATACCTGGAATAACTTTTTACTGCACTGGAGAGAAGTAAAAAATTGAAACCAGGCTCTCTCTTTCCAGACTAGGCCCAGCTCTAGGCGCCATCATGGGAGTCCACATAGGCCACAACAAGGACCGAAAGCTTCAACGCAAGCAGCCCAAGAGCCAGGAAGTCTACTAAGGCTGTTGGTCAAGTTGTACAGGTTTCTGGCTAGAGGAACCAATTCTACTTTCAACCAAGTGGTACTGAAGAGGTTGTTCATGAGTCCCACCAATAGGCCACCTCTCTCCCTCTCTGGGATGATCCGGAAGATGAAGCTTCCTGGCCGAGAAAACAAAACCGCTGTGGTCGTGGGGACTATGACAGATGATGTTCGTTTTCAGGAGGGGCCTAAACTGAAGGTGTGCGCACCTCGTGTGAGCAGCCAAGCCCCAGCCGCATCCTCAAGGCTGGGGGCAAGATCCTCACCTTTGACCAACTGGCCCTGGACTCCCCCAAGAGCCGTGGCACTGTCCTCTTCTCTGGTCCTCGCAAAGGCCGAGAGTGTACCGTGTACCGGCATTTTGGCAAGGCTCCTGGGATCCCACAGAGCCACACCAAACCCTATGTCTGCTCCAAGGGCAGGAAATTCAGCGCGCCAGAGGCCGGAGGGCCAGCCGTGGGTACAAAAAGTAACCCTGGATTTACTGTTAATAAAGAGGCTTTGAATTTGAAAAAAAAAGAAAGAAAGAAAAAAGAAACCAAAGGAGATTCTAAATTTCAGTGCCTGGAAATCTTGTTTTTTTTTTTTTTTGTTTTATTTTAAGGTTTATTCACTTCTCTTTTTAAGAGAGAGAATTTTAATATTTATTTATTTATTTTTTAGGTGGACACAACATCTTTGTATGTGGTGCTGAGGATCGAACCCAGGATGCATGCATGCCAGGTGAGCTTGCTACCGCCTGAGCCACATCCCCAGCCCAGTACCTGGAAATCTTTTAGGATATCTTGTCTTTACAAAGCTGTGGCTGGTAGGAATCACTTTCTAAGAAAGTGCATCCTCTTTCTTCCACTTACTGCAAACATTCTCAGAACAGAGAAAAGGCAAGGAGAGCTATGATGTCATTAGAAATTTGTTTTAAGTAACTTGCCATATATACCCAGTTGTCCCACTCTTTAGCATATACCCAAAGGACTTAAAATGAGCATACTCTAGTGACATAGCTACATCAATGTTCATAGAAGAACCTCAGATAGAGCATTAATCTCCAGGATATATAAATAACTCAAAAAATAATACCAAAATAACAAATAACTCAATCAATAAATGGGCAAAGGAACTGAACAGACACTTCACAGAAGAAATATGAATGGTCAACAAATATATGAAAAAAAATGTTTAACATCACTAACAATTAGAGAAATGCAAATTAAAATTACACTGAGATTTCATCTCACTCCAGTCTGAATGGCAATTATCAAGAATATAAGTAACAATAAATGTTAGCAAGGATATGGGAGAAAAGGTCCATTCATACATTGCTGGTGAGACTGCAATTGGTGCAACACTCTGGAAAGCAATATGGAGATTGCTCAAAAAACCTGGAATCCTGGAATGGAACCACCATTTGACCCAGTTATCCCACTCTTTAGCATATACCCTAAGGACTTAAAATGAGCATACTATAGTGACATGACTACATCAATGTTCATAGCAGCTCAATTCACAATAGTTAAGCTATGGAAAAAACCTACCTAGGTGCCCTTCAATAGATGAATAGATTTTAAAAAAGTGGAACATATACACAATATAATATTACTCAGCCATAAAGAAAAATGAAATTATGTCATTTGCAGTAAATGGATGGAACTGGAGGCTATCATGCTAAGTGAAATAAGCCAATCCCAAAAACCAAAGGCTAGGGGGAAGAGAGGGAGGATGAGAATGGGAAAAACAGTAGAATGATTCAGTCATAACTTTCCTATGTTCATATATGAATACACAGCCAATGTAACTCCACATCATGTACAAAGCACAAGAATGGGAAGTTATACTCCATGCTTGTATGTCAAAATATATTCTACGGTAACGAATAACTGAAAAGAACAAATAAAAAAATAATTATTTAAAAAACAAGAAGAAATTTGTAGGAAAATTTGTTATCCTAAAGATTTTATTTTCCTGAGAAGATTTAGATTGCAAATTTTTGAAATCAAGGTTAATAAAATATATAAGGGGCATTCATTTGTTGCTTTCCAGCCTTTAGTCCTCCAAAGTAAGTTTTTAAAACTTTGATGGGCAGATTTTTTTTTTTAAAGAGAGAGTGAGAGAGAGAATTTTTAATATTTATTTTTTAGTTTTCTGCAGACACAACATCTTTGTATGTGGTGCTGAAGATCGAACCCGGGCCGCACGCATGCCAGGCGAGCGTGCTACCGCTTGAGCCACATCCCCAGCCCAGACGGGCAGATTTTGAAGAATTAACCTAAGAGCAGAGAAATACAATCCATCTAGAGAGAAGCCATATGGCACAGCCAACTCATACTCAAGAGCAAAACGCACCCTTGCTTCATAAGTTTTGCCTTTTTCACATAAGAAGGAAAGAAAGATTCTGAACTTGTTGAGTTTTTAGAGTTTCTTACAGTTTAAAGAGATGTTAGATCATTTAGTTTACAATTTTCAGCCTCTGACTGAATATTTGAAATGAAATGCTTACTATCACAGGACCAATTTTTCTTACTATTGTAGAAAAGTATCTATTTTTCCTGACTTGGCCTTGAAAGGGATAAGAGTATAATAGGTAGAGACAATAGTGTTTATTTTTTTCCTCTAAAAATTATAAACACAATGTTTATAGCCCCTGTTTCCTTCAACAGCTAAGGGCAAAGAAGAGTAAAAACAAACCTAAAGGTCCTATGATAGAGGAAATTAGAACCTGATCTTATTTATTTATTTATTGGTACTAGGGATCAAATTCAGGGGTGCTTTACCACTGAGCTATATCCCCAGTACTTTTTATTTTTTATTTTGAGACAGAGTCTCACTAAGTTGCTGAGGGTATCACTAAATTGCAAGGCTGGCCTTGAAATTTTGATCCTTCTGCCTCAGTCTCTCAAATTGCTGGGATTACAGGAATATGCCACTGCACCAGAAAGAACCTGATCTTAATAATTAATGCACATATAATGAACTTAAACATCATAAGAAGAGGAAACTGGTGGAAATGATAACTCAGAACATGAGGGCTCATATGTTGAGATTTTGTCAATTAATTTTAGTGAGTTTTTTCAGCTTTCTTGTGGCAAATATACTTTCTCTTTTGTCTGTCTCACAATGAAAAGAACACTAAGTTCAGAAGAATATAATTTCTTTTATTTTAGCTCTGAAAGGATTTTTCCCACATTTTTATTGGTGCATTATAATTGTACACACTGATGGGATTTTTTGTTACATAATTGTACATTCACAAAATTTAACAATATAATTTGACCAATAYCACTCCCAGGACTTCCCTGTCTCTTCCTACCTCCCACCCCTTGTCCCTTTCCTTTTATTCATCTCCCTTTGGTTTTCATGAGATCCACCTCCACTGTTTTTTTGTTTGTTTGTTTGTTTTTTGTTTTTGTTTTTTTTTTTACCTCCAGCTTCCACACTGGAGGTAAAAAAGAAAAAAAGAGAAAATATATGATCCTTGACCTTCTGAATTTGACATATTTTGCTTAACATGATGGTCTCTATGCATTTTCCTGCAAATGACATATTTCATTTTTCTTTATGTCTGAATAAAACTTCATCATATAATATATATATATACACACACACACACACACACACACACACACACATTTTATTTACTCTTCAAAATTTGATGAATACCCAGGTTGGTTCCATAGTTTGGTTATTAAATTGTGCCACTATAAATATGAGTATGCATGTATCACTGTAGTATGATGACTTTAATTCTTTGGAAGGGATCTTAAGATAAGGAATTCAATTTAAAAAATGTTTAGCTCCTGGGAGAGTAGGCTCTGCATCAAATAAAAAAATATATATATCAAGAGTGATAGTATAATAAGAAAACCAAGTTATACTTAATAATTTTAATCAAAAACTAATAAGGTGATTACATTAATAAAGAGGGTAGTTTTATATAGCATTTAATTTTTCTCAAAAAGGTATGGTGGATTTCATTACTTTCTTACCAGCCTCTCTAAATTCTCAGTTATTTTGAGGTTTTCAGAGAATATAGAAGCTACAACCTGTACGAAGTTAAATACTTCCATGTATTTTCTTTCATGGTCTAAAATTCATATCCCATTCTGTGATCTTRTTTTCCACATCATATCCAGAAAACCAGCTGCATTGGAAGACTAACTCACCTCCATGAAGCTTGATCATCAGGCCACCAGGAGCAGAAGCAGGACACTTGGATCAGCTCAGTAGGACCAGGATGGCTGCAGACCAGGAGCCTAGGACCTGTATGCTAGGAATAGGCTCAGAGCCCATGAGGGGAAGAGGAAAAGTTCAGGAGCTGGAGAGAAGGCACAAGGCCAGTGTGGGGTCTGGCAGATTCCGTGACAGTTTGTCAGTTGCTTAAAAGAAAGAGAAAACCTGATTGGAATGACTTATCAACTCATCCTTTTTTCTTTCTTTCTTTTTTCTTTTTTCTTTTTGATGTTTGTGATTTAAAGTGATAGTCTAATATTAAGCTTCATAGATCCCCATTACTGAATAAGGCTATTTTATAAGAGAAAAATACAGCAGCAGCAGCCTATAAATCTAACACCCTGCCTTGATCATCACAGACAGCATCAAGGTACCAACCAAAAGGCTTTAACTAACAGTTGTTTCACCTCTGACATTCTGTTGAAATAGCCCTGAGAAAGTAGCAAAGGCCAAGGAAGACCAAAAAAAAAAAAAAAAAGCTTTTTGCCCTCAAAAAGCATTTCATTCAGTTTTTTCAGCAGTTTTACCTCACAGATTCACACCTTGAGTGCTGTGATCTGTGTGACCTATAAGGAGCCATTACAGAGTTAACAAGTTTTTTTAGTAGTAATTATTCTAAGTCAATATTTTCTTAAATGTTTATCTCCTATCTAACTGTCCAGCCTTAATACTCACAACTTTTGCCCTGGAGTTTGTGCTATACTTCTGTAGTTTTGCACATTCTGTCCCTTCTTCCAGAGGGCTCCTCCTTCACCAAGAAAGTTATTGGGAAGTCAGAATTATTTCCTCTTTTATGTTTCAGCAGCACCCTGCAGATATTTCTATCATAACTTTTATTACACTGCATTATTTCTTTCATTAGAACTATTTTCTTATCTCTTCTCTAAGAAAGTGCATTTTTTAGAGGAAAGGACCATTTTATTCATCATAGCTAAAACAGCCAGTACTCTATCAAAATTTAATATATGCAGAGCTGGAGTTGTAGCTCGGCAGTAGAGTGCTTGCCTCACAACGTATGAGGCACTGTGTTCGATTTCCAGCACCACATATAAATAAGCAAATAAAATAAAGGTCCATCAACAACTAAAAAATATTTTTTAAAAAATTTAATACATGCTAGCTGAATGAGTGAGTGAATTAATGAATGAAAGGCAGCACCCAGCAACACACTGCATTTTTTTTTTCCTTCAGTGCTAGGGACTGTACCCAGGGCCTTGCACATACTAGGCAAGTGCTCTACCACTGAGCTACATCCCCAGCTCTCTTTTTAGGTTGGATAATAGAATAACTGCTGTTTCTGTGGCTTGTGCTTATCCATAAGAAAGGAAGACAAGCCATTTTGTTTGGATAATTGGCTGTTTCTTCCCTGTCACACCACACCACAGTGACTGCCCCTTTGCCCTCCTTTTAGAGGGTCAGTGATGCTGGAAGAGCCTTATCTAAGGCTCCACACCTTCTTCATACCATTCCCCAGGAGAAGAAAACATAAGTTGTGGGATTATTATTTTTTTTTTGGTCTTCTGAAAGCTAAAGGGGAATGGAAGAGCTCATCTTAAATGCCACCCTGATTAATGTCCCCATAAAATTAGAGTTATCATGTCAAAGCTATCTGTACATAGCCCATGAACAAAAATCCCGCTGCATGATATCATGAAACTGAAAATGGAAGAAAAAGAATGTGTAAGTTTTACTTCTACTTTTAGTGTTGCCACTTCAGACCAAAAGCTTCCCCAAAGTTGCCATAGCTCAAAAGGTTTTCAGACGGGCTAAAACAAAACTGTTGGAACATCCATACAAGTGACAAGAGAGCACCAGGGCAGTACCAAATTCCTCAGACCAAGGTTAATCCTGTTTAATATGTCATAAAAACCACTTTTAGCCAGAAGTGGCCCATGCCTATAATCCCAGTGGCTTGGGAGGCTGAGGCAGGAGGATCACGGGTTCAAAGCCAGCCTCAGCAAAAGCCAGGCACTAAGCAACTGAGTGAGACCCTGTCTCTAAATAAAATACAACATAGGGCTAGGGATATGGCTCAATGGTTGAGTGTCCCTGAGTTCAATCCCAAGTACCCAAAAAAAAAAAAAAAGACTGGGGATGTAGCACAGTGGCAAAATGTCCCTGAATTCAATCCCCAGTATTGGGGGGGAAATCACATGGATAATACATGCAAAAGCAAAACCTATATTTAATAGACACCTCGGGTATTTTGATCAATAGTCATGTTTATGACACACTGTGCACTGTGCTATGTCAGCAATTAATAGTCTCCAAAATGGCATACACAAGATAATCTATTAAAGTGAGAAAATAATATTTAGAAATGTTTTGAGGTTTTTTTCATTCTCATATTATTTTTATTTCTCATTTCATTTTGAAACCACTCAAGCTGGGGATATAATTCAATGGTAGAGCACTTATGTAGCATGTGTAAAGCCCTGAGTTCAATCCCCAGTGCCAATAAATAAATAAATAAATGCATATACTATATTTATTTTGTGTATCTGCACCAAGTCAAGCAACTGATGTCTAGGGTATGAGCAATATTCCAAAGAATGCAGTGGATAGACAGACATGATACAGGGATGGGCACTGCTTCAGGTACAACTGTGCCTCCACAGGGTAGATAATGCCCCTGCAATCACTGGAAGGAAGGAACAAGTTTTACTGTACATATCATTCTGAGGCAGAGGGTGAAAGCACTACAGAAGTTTTATCCCTTCTCATTCTAAAATACGGGCTGATTTTTGAGTGCTATGTGATTCTCTGCAAAAGAAAAATGAGCAGGGTGCTTTCCAAGGCCTGTGACCCTTGGATATTGTTTTGTTTACAGAGAAGTATGCCAATTTGATTAGTTGAAAAATGTGTTGGAAGGTAAGCATGCCTGCATAGCCAAGGTGAAAGAGGTAGTCCTGGCAGGTCAGAGAGCATGAACCACAATTCTAGATTCTAGCAGTCTGGCCTTGCAGGCCACTCAGCACCCTTTCTGCATATTCCCTTCAATGTGCTGAGAGGTGATTAGAAAGAACTGACTTCCTGGGCTGTCGTTGTGGCTCAGTGGTGGAGCACTCATCTAGCATGTGCAAGAACCTGGGTTCAATCCTTAGCACCACATAATAATAAATAAATAAAATAAAAGTATTGTATCCCACTACAACTAAAAAATAAAAATATATATAAAGAAAGAAGAGTCCATTGCTCTGCATAAGAGCCATTGTGATGCTTAATTTTATGTGTCAACCTAATAAACCCAGTATAATAGTGCTTAAGCAACAGTGAAATTTATTTCTCTCTTAAGCAAAAGGCAAAAATTGTATTGTGTCTCTGGTTTGCAATGTTGTTGGTCTCCCAAATGCTATCTTGTCTACTTGTTCCACCATCTCTAGGATGTTGCATTCATGTGGCACCATAGGCCCCATGTGGCCAACTAAAAATTGATGATTATGATAAAACAAGGTGCATTAATCCATTTTCTGTTACTAATATCCTAGAGTGACTACATTATAAAGAAAAGAGGTTTAGGGCTGGGTGTGTAGCTCTGTGGTACTGTTTGTTCTTAGCATGCTCAAGACCTGGTTCAATCCCCAATACACAAAAAAGAGTTTATTTTGGCTCAGATGACAGTTCTGGAGATGCCCAGTGAAGGGGACCACACTTAATAATGATCATCTTACTGGCAGAGCCCCTGTGTAGTGCAGGGTTTCACATGGCAAGAGATAGGTAGCATGCATGCATGCATGTGTATACGTGTGTGGCTAGTATCTCTCCCTCTGATAAAGCCATCAGGATTCAGTCATCATCTTGCTAATCCCAATGACTTTATCTAATCCTAATCACATTGCAAAAGTCCTACCTTCAAACATCATAGTTGTTGGATTAAATTTCCATCCTCTTAATACCTCGAAGTAGGGATTAAATTTCGACATATGAAGCCTTGGATGACGTGCAAACCATAGAAAAATAGAACACTGCTTTGAGGACAACCATCAGCATCTAGCACACTATGAAAACCAAAGTCCAGTTCTGAAGTATTAAACCAAAGGAAACAAAAAGTCTCAGAGCATACAAAAAAATTAGAGGTCTTTTATATACTCCAGATAGTAATTTTTTAAATTGCAAAAATAGAGGCAGGCACTTTGGTATAAACACCAGTGACTCAGAAGGCTGAGACAGGAGGATCAAAAGTTCAAGGCCAGCCTCAGCAATTTGGCAAGGACCTGAGCAATTTAGTGAGACCCTGTCTCAAAAATAAATAAATAAATAAATAAATAAATAAAAAGACTGGGGCTGTAGCTCAGTGGTAAAGCACTCCTGAGTTCAATCCCCAGTACCAATTAATTAGTTAATTAACTAACTAAAACAGCATAGATACTAACAACCTATAGTTTCTGCACAGTGACATGGAAAATCTAGCCAGAAGATCTGTCTGTACTGAGCAACAAAGCACATATCATATATAAATAAAGTGGTACTGATAGGGGATAATTTTTTTCAAACAAACTGGCAGATTTTAGTATATTAAAGGGACATACACAGGAATCAATGTGGTTTTGTGGTTGCTGCTGTTGTTGTATGTGCAGAAAATCAAACCCAGGGTCTTGGCCAATGCTGGCAAATGTTTCAGCACTGAGTTACTTCCCTCAGCACTATGGTCACACTCCATAGAGTAGTTGGGTTGTCTGCTCACTTCAATCTCTGAGTACCCATTCATGCAAATTCAACACTGGATATAAACAGGTACTATGTGACTTCTTCTCCCAGGGAATTATGATGGGCACTGTTAGTTACAAACATGTCTCTTTGTCCCTTGTCACTGCTCCACACATAAGCTGCCAGTTTGGACTTGAAATTTCCCTTTTATTTAATAATCACAACAAAGTCATGAACTAACACGTTCAATCACTACAGGTTCTAGAGGTTCACAGGTGAGATCAACTACTTCATTTTCCCCAAGTTCTGTTCACATCCATGTCAGGAGTTAACCTCCTTTTTTTGTAATGTAGATTGAACCCAGGGGAGCTTTTAACTATGTCCCCAGCAATTTTATTTTTCAGGATCTCAATAAGTTGCTGAGGATCTTATTAAGTTGCTGAGGCTGGCCTTGAACTTCTGGTCCTCCTGCCTCAGTCTCCAGTGTAGCCCCCTTCAGCTATAGGGAATTTTCAGGGTTGTCTGCATAAATATTATTATTATTATTTGTACTAGGAATTTAACCCAGAGGTGCTCAACTACTGAGCTACATTCCCAGCCCTTTTTAATTTTTATTTTGAGAAAGTGTTTCATTAAATTGCCAATGCTGGCCTCTAACTTGCAATCCTGCCTTAGTCTCCCGAGTAGGAATTACAGACTGGGACTGAGGTTGGAATTATAGACGTGTGCCATGGCACCCAGCTCTTTTAATTTTATTCAAGGCAGAGTCTTGCCCATGCTGGCCTAGAATCTGAGATTTGCCTCAACCTCTGGAATAGCTGGGTGCCCTGCTGCTAGACTGAATTGTATGTATACTTTAAATGTGTTAATTGCATGGTTTTGTTGTAGGGACAAAAGAGGCCAGGCACTGAAGATAGCAGGAAACAATTTCATTTGGCTGTAGCCATGTCCAGACAGCACAGCTTTTGCTGTAATCAAAATAAGTCCCCTGAATCCCAAGTTCAGGTAGTTTCAGAATTTTATACCCAGCATGTAAGGGGAAGGGCTCAGAAGTTCACAGTCTGCAGAAGTTCACAAAAAGGCAGCTTTTTTTTTTCCCCCCACTGTTTTGGGCAAGTTAACTCTTTAAGGACAACACCTGAGAAGAGGAGAGCTGCTTCTCCCCTTTCTTTCCTCCCCCTGCCAGCTGTTGCCATGGAGCCCAGTTGGTAACTTCTCTTATCTTAAAAACATAGACATCACTGTGAAGCCCAGTTTAAGGCCAGAGGCCTTGTTTGCACATTTCTACAAACTACTATACTGGATATATTTGTGAAAAACTAGTAAGGGGGTGTCCAGCACCTGGAGTGCTGATCTTCCTGGCCAGTGGCCAAGTAAAACAGGGCAGCACAAAAAGAGGAAGTTTATCTACATTGAACTCTTTGGTAGAGACTCTTTTGCTGACAGTCCTAAAATCAGCCATGGTGAAGATTTCTGGAGACTTTTCTGTGGAAAATGGGGTGCCACTACAGTTTATTAATTATGTCTCAGTAAACATGTAAGTTAACAGAAATGTTACACAATACCGTCACACCATCTGGATTTAGACCAAGCCCTGGAACCTAGAGGGGGAAGTGAAAACCCAAGACAAAAATGGATGGAACCCAGAGGTAGGTTGTACATCATAAGTATCGACCTGTGGGAGACCAACCTTACACGTGACTGAGTCACACTCCCCAGCTAGGTGCTGAGTCGCTCAGTACCAGAAATGTGGCAGAGCTTTCCCCACCCTTCTTGGGTTCAAGGGTCGGTGTCTCGCGCATGGGTGTGTCTTGCTACAGCCCCATTGGTGAAGCTACGCTCACCTGTTCCTTTGTAATATAACCCCTTGTCCTATTTAGGATAGAATCTTCCATGGAAGTGCCTTGTGTGTGTCCCCTTCTCTTACTGTGCCCTTGGGTGTGGCCTATCCAGGTGTCAGTCAACCTGCTGACAGTGGACATCATGAAGATAGACTCAGCCCCCTGAAACCTGATCCCTTGTCTCATTTGAATAGATTCTCCTCAATAAATGGGGTCAGCCTATGCTCTGGCTCTCTCTTTCTGAGGACTCTTAAGGTCAGAGGAGCCCTCACAGCGACCCCAAATAAAAAGGTATTTGTGTCTTTTGTGTGGTTATTTCACGCAGCCCAATTTAACTGGAGTGACCCCTGACCACAATTTAACTTTAGTGGCCAAAACAGAAACCTAGCACCAACCTATTTACAGAGGAAATATAATGTATATCCTGAGTGGATCAACACCCATCTCTAGCCCCTCCTCCTTCACAAAAAGAGCCCTTGGGAGGAGGCTGGTCAGCCTCGGAGAGGACTGCCTACCACCCCTGTTTGCATCCATGCACCCAAGGGTGCATCAGTGACCCAGATATTTTACCCTGCCCAGCCCAGTCCGCAGCAATTCAGCAATAAGAGAACAAAAACCATGCCCTGCAGCAGCGGGCTTTCTTTGCCCGCTCAGCTACTTCTCGGTACAAGACCGAGAAGAACCTAGGTGCAGACTACAAAGGGCGCAGAAAAAGGAGGGTGCTGGGTTGTTGGGGCCAGAGGCCAAGGGGAACAGTTGAACAGATAGGGAAGGGGGCAGGGCGGGATAGCGTACTCAGGGTGGATACGCCCAAAGCCAGTCACCAAGCAGGTGGTGTGGTGCAACAACTGCATAGCGAAAAACATTGCCCTCCTCCACTTTCTATCTACTTTTATTGTTTCTCAATTGACCAATTGAAACACAGGCCAGGATGGCTCGTCATCAACCTCTGGGCAAAAAGAGCTGGTTCAGATTAGAGAACGGGACTTTCCCCGCACTTAGTTTCCTTTTTCTCAAAAGGCCAGTGCTTTCCGAGAAAAGGCAAGGGAGGGATTAGTACCTCCTGCTCCTCCTCCCCCCCCCCCCGCCCCCCCGCGTGATTACATCAGTAACTTCCGCACTCTGTAGACCAGTGATTCTCAAAGGGGCAATACTTATGGGGCATTTTGGAAATTAATAGAGCAATATTTGGTTGTTCCAATTATGAGGAGTATTTAGGGGCTGAGGGCCAGAAGTTCCAGCCTACTTTGTGTGTGCACAAGCACGTCCACACACGCGCAAAATATATTAAAAATCTGTTTATAATCTGGGCTCAAAATCACATGTAAAAATGTGTCTTATTTTTTATTTCTTGAACATACACTGACCATCTACTACTTGAGTTTTTCAGGAATGTAACTACCAGGCAACTCAAAGATGTTGTTTGGGGAAATTTTACCTAAAAATTCTCACCATTTCAGATAATTATGCCAGAACCATCAATACCATATCTGAATCTGAACCACTGTTGGGGCTTTGACATATTGAAGAAAAGAAGTAGTTTCAAGGACTCTCAAACCTTCTCCCTTCTTTTCTGTTGATCTTTCTCTTAAAAGAAGGGGTTTCCCTGAAGTTCTCCTGTTCACCAGAAAGGAACACAATTGTCTTCAATYTTCTTACTGAAACTTTACTAATTAAGGAAGATTAAACTCATTTCACAGATGAAAAGATTTTTTTAGAATTTTGTCCTAGGCCTGGTCTTTTGTTCATCTCACCTTGAAATCATTTACTATTCTAAATCACTTACATCTTCCCTGTTTCCCTCTCGCCTATGAAGAAGGCAAGTAAGCAGCAGCCATGTGACTTTTCTTTGTTTTCATATTTTGTATAGCTCCCATGTATATTTGCATGTTAATAAATTTGTTAGGCTTTGCTCTTATTAACCTTATTTTTGTTGTAAAGGTGTCAGCCATGAATCTTTGTGATGTGCAGCAAAGGGATCACTCCCTTTTCTGCTCCTACACCACCAATGCAGTCTACCTTTCAGTCTTAAGTGCCACTGTTCACAGAGATCCTGGGCCAGTTAAAAAGAAGTGTTTTAAAGGGGGGAGRGGAGGAAGTTGGGTGAGGGGTGCATGCCTATAATCCCAGAAGTATGAAAGCAAGAGGATCTAAAATTTGTAGTCCACTTGGGGAACATAGCAAGAAGATGTCTCAAAATTAATTAACTAATTGAAACTTGAAAGAGGGGAGTGTTGAGTCTGATTGAGTTGAAAACTCTAGTGTACACTGGCGTCCTGGAGACTTTACCTACCTCGTTCTGCCAAACTTGAGTTGGTACTGAGTTTCTATCCTATAAATCTAGCAGATAAAACTGCTACACAAGTGGCTGTGGCACCATCACCAGTAAGAATCCTTTATTTTTATTTACAGGTAAGAAAACTGAGGAGTTAACAGAGATAAAAGAAGATGACTTTTTTGTTTTGTTTTGTTTTTCTTGGTACTGGGGATTGAACTCAGGGGCACTTGACCACTGAGCCACATCCCCAACCCTATTTTGTATTTTATTTAGAGACAGGGTCTCACTGAGTTGCTTAGCACCTCACTAARTTGTGAGGCTGACTTTGAACTGGTGATCCTCCGRCCCCAGCCTCCCSAGCCACTGAGATTATAGGCATGCGCCACGACACCCAGCAAGAGGATGAACTTTGACAGGCAGAACTAGAATCTCCTGAAAATGCCATTAGACTTCATGAATTCCCTATGTAAAAARGTTATTCTCAAAATTCCTGATGCTAACAAAAGGAAGTTTTGCCTGCAGGTCCATCCTTGGAGGAACTGTTAAGAGTAAAGGGTGGGGTTATAGCTCAGGGGTAGAACACTTGCTTAAGTATACCAGTGAGGCCCTGGGTTTGATCCTCAGCATTACATAAAAATGAAATAAATACAAGTATTGTGTCCATGTACAACTAAAAATATATTTTAAAAAATAAAGAGGGGCTTGGGTTGTGGCTCAGCGGTAGAGCGCTCGCCTAGCACATGCAAGGCCCTGGGTTCGATCCTCAGCACCACATAAAAGTAAATAAATAAAACAAAGGTATTGTGACCACATACAACTAAAAAACTTTTAAAATAAATAAATAAATAAATAAATAAATAAATAAAGAGTTGGTGAGGACCATCTTGTTGTCTAAAGCCTATTAGGAAAAGGGATTCAGCAGTTCAGTGCTAAGAAATTTTCCTATATTTCCCTGCTGTAGTTTTAGATAATTTGTTCTAATTAGTTGTGCAAATAAAGAACCACTGAAAGTAAATGGCATTGCCTAGAGCTTTACATCTTACAGAGACATTCTCATCACTATCACCTTCTCAGAACAACCCTGGGAACGCTGCCAGGTTTTTTTTTTTTTTTTATTGAACAAAAAAATTGAATGAATAAATGAATTGTGATATAGGAATAATTGTCCCATTTTGTGGATATGATAACTCTATCAAGTCAGCTTTGTATCATAACAAAACACCTGACACAGTCTACTTAATAAAAAGGTTTATTTAGTTTATTGTTTTTCTAAAAAGCASAGCACAGGCTCTGTGATGAAGGCTGACTCTTTGTCTGCATCACCACATGGTGAATTTGAACAGTAATTCTTGTAGTGCCAATAGCAATGAAAGGAGTGCATGCAGGAGAAAACAAGTGACTGATCTCAAGCCAAAAGCAGATAGCATAGGAGGGGCTAGGTATCCTCTTTTCATAGTAAACCTCTTAGAAGAACCCAAGAGGTCTCATGGGAACTACCTTCTGAGAGCATACACCCAGTGACCTAAAGACATTGCTCTAGGCCCCACCTCTCAAAGGTTCCACCACCTCCCCAAACTGCTACCCTGGAAATCAAGACTCTAACCACAATAGACTTTTGAGGACACAATTAAGCCATATCCAAACCTAARATTGGGTCAGGAATTTTCCAGTTCCCTTTGTGAAATTAGGATTCAAACTTAGATCTGAGCCTACTGGTATTCAAATTCTAATGCTAACCCCTTAGAAACTTTGAAGTTGTAATGGGAGTTTGGGATTACATGTGTTAGGGGCCCACCAGAGGAATTTAATAGGAAACTCACAGTAGCAACTGATGCCCCATTCAGATCTGCCCCAGTGAGCCAGTTCCCAGCTTTTGCCTATTGTGCCAACAATTAGCACCTGTACATTGCTTGAGGATACTGGAGAGAACTGGAAATTTTAAGTTTCATGCCATCCCGTAGCCTGATATAGCCAAAGACAGGCTATTGTGGATTACCAAAAGCCAGATCCTTTGCTTTGAGGCAGGACAAATTCTAAGGTGTGTTCTTTGTTATATAGAAGTCCCTGTGGGAAAAGGCTGTGTGGAAACTTCTAATATCACACCCTCACTTGGCTTCTGTCCTTCGTCATCCACTGCTTTACTGCTTTTCTTCCCCCGTAAAAGCCCTTTCTTAATGCACCACAGTGATGTGCAGGCTTCAATTGTGCCCTTGTGCTTCACCAACAAGATATAAATATATCCTCAGTTATATTTTTTAATCATCTATATTGTGGAGAACTAAAGGTGAATAACTACATCCAGTTAATGAGACATATGGAGTTTCCTACAGGATTAAGRCTTGATATATGATCAACTCTTACTTTCAATTATATTTACTAGTTCATTTGTTTTTTCTATCAGCCCTTCTTGTGGAACTCCAAAATATAAAAATGGCTTTTATGCATAAGGTTTCCAATCAAAGTAGTCAGAKATACTTTATTATTTCTTATAAGACACCTACTACCCAAATGTTAGTCTATAATTTCTGAATTTTTTTCTAGACACCAGGGAGAGACAAACTCAAAGATAGTTCCTTAAGTAGAATTATTAAGAAGACTACTATTACATCATTGCAACTTCCTACGTGCATAAAGTGTATTTGCATATCAACTTGAGAAAGAAAGAAAATAATTCGAAATTAATCCAGTCCAAATAAAGCCATCTTCAGCCCTGAAGAAAGAAAAAAGAAAAGGAAAAAAAWTTGTGAATGCATTTACTTTATTTGGATTACAGATCTCACCATCAATTTGTCTAACTTCTGCAATGTAGGTCTCCTTTTTAGAAGTGGCTACAGAAAATTTTCAAAACCCATTACAAAGAACATATCCCAGTAATTTATTCTATCGGTGCTCCCAAAATCTTAGAGGAAAGAATTCTAATATTAGAGTTTATGTCCTGGCTTTGCCATTTAATAACTATATGACTGTGCAGATAACCCAACTTCTCTTAAATAAATTTTTCTGTCCTAAAGATAATAGATTTGAATGGGTTTTCAGCATCAAGATATCCTGGGCAGTAAAATTTCATTGAAAAGCTGAATTTTCTACCACCACTGGAATGCAGCTGAAGATACCAAGAAGTCCAAGTTTCTCTTTCTTTCATGCTTTAGAGCTCCTTGTAATTACATCTATTATAGATTTTTACAGGGAATATAAACCAGTCTGTTTCCATTTCTTTCCTCAARTGGCTAGGAGCTTCTTGAAGGCAAACAGAGTACCCACACACTGAGACTGAACAAGAAACTGAAAGAATAGGACATCTGCAGAACTGTGTCACCCCTCTCTTCTGAATGAAGAACAAAACAACTGTTATGTGTTTTTGTTTTTTTGTTTTTCTTTTGAGATGAGGTCTCTCACTAAATTGTTGAGGCCAGTCTCAAACGTGCCATCTTCTTGCCTTAGCCTCCTAGGTAGCTGGAGATTACAGGCATATACCACCATGTCCAGTGTGAGAATAATTCATTTTTGAGGTCTTTTTCTATGCAGAAACGCCTGATATGAAAATGACAGAAGAAAGATCAAACCCTTGCAGGTGGTGTGGGTAATCAGCTGCCTCTATCCAGCCACATCTCACTGGCAGCTCCTCTGTCTTCCTGTTACAGGGTCAGTGATGCTGACAGAGTCACACCTGGGACCACAGCCCTTCCTCATGCCATTCCACAGAAGAAAGGAATATGACCCAGGAATGTGACTCAAAGAATTCTTTACCTGCTAACTGCTACCTTAGCTAATGTCCTCCATACAGTGAAGATTATCATGTTAGAGTTGTCTCTCAATAGTCCCTAGGATAATAAACAGAAATATTTCTTAAAGTCAAAAACCCACCTCTGTGTTGTTGGTTAGTCCCAGGATGCTGGTTAGTTGTCTCGGTCTATGAAAAAGAAAATGGGAAACATTAAGCTTTACTTTTTAAGATACCATGTACTAACAAATGTCCCAAACTGTGTAGCTTTGAACACTTGTAGACCCAATCCTGCCTACTGGCCTCAGAGCCAAACCCAGCCAGTATTAAAGGAGTCCAGGTTTCTAGGTGTCAGGACAGTAGGATTTATAGGCGAAGACCTGTGCCTCCCTGCGATGCTCCTTGGTGCCAAGTGTCCATAAGGCTGTCAGAAAAGCTAGAGGAAGCCAACAGTGGTAAGAAGCAMCGGGAGTGCTGCTACTACTCCCTGCTCTCACTACAAGGACCCCACTGGCTCAGGGAACATGCCATGCAGAAGTCTCTCAGAAGGTGTCACACATCAGTGCTTTAGAAACACTCCCTGACAATCCCAGTATACAATTTTTTTTTTTTTAATACAGAAAAAGCTTTAAGCTGTGACTCTACTTAGGAATAACTTTCAACAGTTAAGGAAAAAACCTGAAAACTTACCCCACTTCACTATCTTGGGCACCTTCAGAGTTTCATGTGTAACTCTGCATGCGTATTCATCTTTATCATTGGGGGTGAATTCAGTGTGCACCAGAAGATAGAAGGACCAGTCCTTGCTGAAAGAGAGGTCCGACTGCTCGACTTTTTCTATCTTGTGTCCATTTTTCAACAGATCTATTTGAATCTGGGGTGGATGAAATCCAGATACATAGCAGTTGAGGAAGTTYGGTTTCCCGTTCTCAGCCGGGTGCCGGGTATAAACTTGAATTCTCGGAGAACCTGAGAAACATCAGGGAAAGACAAAATAAATTTGTCATGAGTATTTTACTTGGAGCTAACTTGCTCCCAAGTTAGGCACCAAAGGTTAAATTTGACCTATTTGTCCGGATGCCATTTCCACTCTGGCCAAATGAGTTTCTACTCTCCCAATAGGCTACTCTATTTCATGAAATAGAGTAGAGCTTAGTATGTTTCCCACGTAATTGTTCTCTATATGCTTTGGGGTTTTGTTTGTTGGTTTGTTTGCTTTTGGTCTGGTTTTGTTTTCTAGCTGATTTCTACCAGTATCTTTGGTTACTGGAAATTATTTTAAAGAAATTTTCTGGGCGGCTCTCAAGAATATTTAATGTCCTCTCAGCACCCATTGAATTTTTAATACATCACTCAAGGTCCCAACCTACTTTTCAAACTTCATTTCTCATTTAATACACCCTGCATAGAAGCTACATCAAATTATTCATGCTATTGTACACTGCTTCAACCCCTTCCATTTTCTTTCCTATGTTTACCCACTTCCTTTTTGGTTCCTGCTTCTGCCTACATCTATGCCCATCTGACTTCCTAATGTATATTAAGTATCTAGTGCAGTGACTAGCACACAGCAATTGCTCTGTAAGTAGCAGAAGTTATTATTATTATCTCCTTGCTCAGCTTCCTATGCAAATCAAGCCAACATATGTTGAGACCAAACATAACCTGTTTATTCCTGCCCAGTGTTTATATGTCAAATCTCTGATTACATGAGTTAGAAAACAAAGAATCAAAAATGACTAAGTCCCTAAGCAAATTTGCAAGACCATGTCTCAAAATTWAAAAAAATATAAAGGACTGGTGATGTAGCTCAGTGGTAAAGCTCGCCTGGGTTCAATTCCCAGTTTAAAAAAAAAAAAAAATTAGCCGGATGCAGTGGCGAGCCTGCCTATAATCCCAGMGGCTCCGGAGGCTAAGACAGGAGGATCTTGAGTTCAAAGCCAGCCTCAGCAACTTAGCAAGTCACTTAGCAACTCAGAGAGACCCTGTCTCTAAATAAAATATATATTTAAAAAGGTCTGGGGATGTGGCTCAGTGGTTAAGCATCCCTGGGTTCAATCCCAAGTATCAAAAAACAAAACAACAACAACAACAACAACAAAAATTAAATGCCTACAGGAGTTGGTTTTATCCCCAATACCCACACCCCAAAGAAACAGAAAAAAAGCAAAAAAGCATTTATTTTGTTCAGGGGTCAGAACACAACTTCATCCTGCCCAGAATTCTCTCTTTGAATGAAGCAGGCAGAATTTTGCAAGAATATCACTATAATGTCTTCTAGGATAAAGACAATATCGAGCTAGGTTTGAATTTGGCCAAGATCTGTGGGCTCAGTCACTTACTAGCCTTGTGACTTCGGGAGAATTACTTAAGTTTCCAAAGCTTAACTGAAAAATTAATCCATGCCTACCTACAGTAAAACAAAAAAAACTCACATACAAACATGGGGAAAATAGACCTTTAGAGGCAATCAACATTGAATATTTCTTGTGTATTTTCCAAAAATGAACTAGGTATTTTCTTTGGAATTTTTCAAAATGAGACTTTTTTACTGGTACTTTATAATTATACATAACAGTGAGATTCATTATGCTATTTATTGGTACTAGCACATAATATAATTTGATCAATCCAGGGCAATCCCTATTGGGTCCTCTCAAACCCTATGTGAGCTGTCTCTTTTCTTCTCACTTGAAAAAAATCTTACTCTTTTATATTCACTCTTGTCTTTGGATTTCATTCTTCAAAATCGTGAGACAAGAACTTGAAGTCTCTGGCAGGGAGCTGGGATCAGCTGTAACATTACATACAGCAGTAGAGGCTGAAAATCTCATTTCATCTTTTGGGRGTTTGTCCAGGATTCTTGGAAGGCATGATCCCTGTCTAATGTATACCTGACCAATCACCCACCAACGGCTACCATGGATCCCTGATACACAAGATACCAAGCTACAAATGGCCATACAGATGGAATCCAAGATGAACTCCCCATTTACCAGGGACCCTTAGATAGGCTCCCATAGGAAGTACCAGAGTGGTCATCACCCCTATCCCTAATGGCAGTTAGGGGCTCTTCTTCAGAGGGAGGAAATGAATAAGATAGAATAGGATAGATAGGATGGATGGATAGATAGATAGATAGATAGATAGATAGATAGATAGATAGAAAAACAGGCAGTTAAGAAAATGGACCCCTGAAAAAGAGGTTTCTCTACATGAACAGGCTATTCCATGAAATATAGGAACATTCCAAAYATTCCAGCCAACTCCTTTGTTCCAGAACAGTGGGAAAAATGAGATGGGACAGATCTGAGTGAAGGTTACAGACTTAAGGGCTAACCAATTATAGCCTCAGCACTTTTCCTGATTAACACAGAAATTGATCAATGCCCCTACCCCTTGACTAGCACACTTAAGTGGCAACCCCTATCGGGTCCCCTCTTGGACTGTAGGAGCTATGTCTCTTTTCTTCTCACTTCAATAAATCCTACTCTTCAATACTCAAAAAAAATTGTTTTTTGATCCATCTCATTCCCCAGTAACTTCTCTTTCCCTCCCTCTGAATATATGTATATCATATATATATGATATGTGTGTGTGTGTGTGTGTGTGTGTGTATGTGTGTATTAGAGACAGGTTCTCACTAAGTTGCTTAGGGCCTTGCTAAGTTGCTGAAGTTGGCTTTGTACTTTCAWTCCTCTTGCCTCAGCTTCCCAAGGCACTGGGATTATAGGCATGTGCCACCCTGCCTGGCATTCTTCCTTCTATTTTCATGAGATTCCATATTCTTGCTCTGCATATGAGAGAAAAGATTTGAACCTTAACTTTCTGAGTCTAACTTATTTCAGTTAGCATAATGTT